GCTCTGAGTAGAAAACTTGTTTGTTGGTTGTTACCGGCGGCAGAAATTTGATTGAGTGTGTTGCAACGAGGCAAAGTTCTGGAGGTGAGGAGGCGTGTTCTCCTCTGCTGCAGCTGAAGTCAGTGTGTGTGTCAGAGCCACTGATGGTTCTCTGAGATGGAGAGTGACAGCTGTCAGGAAGGATCAGGGCCTTCTGCGCTGCTGCACGGGAACTCAAAGGAGTTGAAGGAGAGCACGGTGACAGTGTGGCACTGTTTAGTGCCTCGTGGTCGAACACACAGGCCGGAGAATTTGGGGCTTGTGAAACACTGCAAACATGTCTGCGAGCAGCTGTGGATATTATTAAAACTAATGACAAACTGTCGGGAGGAGTTCAGGGCTGTGTGTTGGCGAGAATCTGCCGCTACGATATGATATATGTTCAGATCTGCTGCCGTACTATAGGCACGATGATGTATTGATATTGTCATCATAGTCTCAGACTCTGTTCCATCTGAACATCAAATCCAACAGAGGGATTTACATTTGGAATCACTAGAGAAGAAAGAAAAGAAAAAGAACATGAACCAACACCAGGAATATTGGACTGAGAATTGGGGAGAAAAAATATTTTCATGGATATTTTCACGCACACTTAGAATATTTGAAGTTTTGTTTAGATCATGTTACGAATGTCTGTTTCCTCTTTTCTTTTTTGTCCATGTTGGTATTTTTCTTTTTTATTATTATTTTAATTTTTGTCATGTTTTTTCATCACTTTCCTCCAGACAGTTTTGACAACATGATGAAATACATAAAAATCTGTCCCCTCATGCACTGAAGACCGGAAAGTGTGTGTACTCATACAGTATGCATGTGCACATGCCTGTGTATACAAAGGGAGGGGGGGGCAGTTTAGAGGGTTTGGGGCGGGGGGGTGATGATGATGGACAGCACAGCCTGGTGCTGGTCTGGGGTTTAGATCAGGGCAGGGTTATCATTACTGACCCCCTGCTGTGTTTCCGTGACCCCCCTCCTGCCCGTGAGTTTTGACCTCTAACCTCCTGCTTCACATGACTCCTGTCAAAGTCCAGCCACGACGGACGGGGCCGAGTGGACGGGATCCCCTGCGGTGACACCGAGGCATGGGACACACACGTAAAAAAATACACCCACACCATTTGTTGTTGACATTACCTCACACCTTTTGTGGGTCATTTACCCTCAGACTAGAGAATGCAGGAGTTGATGGGGGAGGGGCTGGGCGGCGGGGGGGGGCAGAATCAGAGCGGAGACAAGAAATAGGCGGCCACAGACTTCAGTGGAATGTCCACTGGTGGCGTGTCTCCTTCTTTGTCTTCATCCCACACAGAGTCTCCTGCGTTGGACCATTAATCAGGTCAGATAAGCCTGGACTTTGGAAGTCGGGGAGATTTACACCGACAGCCAACCGTCGGACGACTGGATCTCATCCCCAACACTGGGATCACACACACGCCAGAGGGCCTCGGTGTGTGTGTGTATGTGTGTGTGGACACAGATGGACTTTACTAAAGACGCCCAGTCTCCAGGTCACAGCGGCAGAAACTTCTCTCACCCCGACGCCATCCTCATGTTCTCCACCAAATATTTAAAAAAAAAAAAAAACTCAGTCGTGGCGTGTGCACCAGCTGCAGCGGAATAAATAAAAAAGGAAGCACTTCCTGTTGCAAAGAACAACAAAATTAACATAATAACGAGACGAATGCCGCATCCGATTACTGCTGACGCGAGGAACGTTACAGTATATGAGTCTAATAATGATCCACCATCAGGCGGCGTCCTGCAGCCGCACATTGTTTCCCTGGGGGGGGGGGATTTACAACCGCCTCCGCTGTGAGATTACAGTCACAGAAACAATCAGCAGCAGCGGGCATTAAGGCCACGAGACGCACGTCAGCACGGACGCCAGGATGTGTTGTGTAAACGCAGATTTAGGCGAAAGTACATTTGATGTTTCTGCTGTGGTGTTGTCAGAGTCGAGATGCCCACACACACACACACACACACGTCGCTGGAGCCAGTTAAAATATTTATGATGAAAATCGACATGAGGTGGAGCGGCTGTGCTAACCGCAGATAGCCGAAGCCTGAGCCGACGCCAACATTCCCCAAGGTGTTTTCTAAATACATGTGGATTTAATACATTTAGAAAAATAAAAGCCCCTGTGATATCCTGCCACAGAAGCTGCCCCCGTCCCCAGAACCACTGCTTGATAACATCGCAAGCCTTTATGCTTTACGGCGTTTTGTCTTTGAGGAAGACTTTTCAAAAACCCAGCGCTCTGCCACAGATCTGAAGAAAATCATATATGAGGTTCTATTTGGCGTGGGCCGCTCCTTCACTGGAAGGAGATATTAAAAAAAAAAAAAGAAGAAACTTAAATAAACTTTGGCTTGTTTTCATTTCAGCTCAGGGGAAAAATCTACCTTCATCGTGCAGGGAAGTGACAGGGATATAAATGTGCTGTTTACTGCCCCAGCATGGGCAGTTTGTACAGCAGTGACTCTGACAGGTTAGGGTAGAGTCAGGCACAGTTCCATTTAGCTTCTTGAGTTTTCAGTAACCAGTTTATTAGGAATGTAATCAGTAGCATCTGTGCCTTTTAACTAGTCTGAGTTACTGTAACCATCGACATGAACTGTTTATGAAGTCGGTCTCAGATAAGTTTGGAGATTGAATTTATTTAAATGGAAATTTATTATATAAAACATTAAGGATAAAGCAGTGAAAAAGTATAAAAAATCCTATATATATTTATAATAGCACTGAAAGAGTTGCTATTATACAAACATCTTGATATATTTATATATATTTAACTGATTCAATAAATCTGCTGCTCTGCTCAACATTGATTAATTGCGGCGCTGCAGGATGCGTTATTTATTATGTTTAATTAAAAACTCAAATATTATTCCAGTGCAGCTGGCGTGTACTTGTTCAGCCGATCTCCTCCTGGATACTGTCATTTACTCCCTCCTGTGATATACGGTGCAGTGAATATGGGTTCTGTTAAAGGACGTCTACGGAGACATCAACTGTTACCGAGTCACCTCAGCGTGCTCCAAGTTCTGACGTTGAGTTTCAATCTGCTCTCAAATATATTAGAAGTTTAGGAGGAAAAATTCCAAATGCTTTTACTGCGCGGAATGTCGTGGAAATCTAAAGATCGTAAATATAAAATGGACACCGTCTCCCAGGGTTCAGGACTGGAAGTTTAGAAACTGTCCTGCGAACATGCTCCATTCAAGCAGTGCTAGCTGTCAATCACTCAGTGTCTACTTTTATTTGTGATATTGACAGTTTAAAGTTGGGCTGTACACTGAAATATCACGATATTTCCTTTCCTGATACCTTATCAATATTCTCCATCAGTTATTGATTTTTCTTTCTCACCAATTCTCAGTCCAATATTCCTGGTGTTGGTTAATTTTCTTTTTCTTTTCTTTCTTCTCTAAGTGATTCCAAATGTAGATCCCTCTGTTCCAGTGTTAGTAACCTGATGTTCAGATGGAACAGCAGCAGAGTCTGAAACCCAATATATCGTGCCTGTAGTATTGCAGTATATCGCAGTATATCTTATCCCCAGTATCATGATGCGTATCTTGTTGCCAGATTCTTGCCGATACTCAGCCCAGGTTTTAAAGACTTTAAAGGAATTCAAATCTACAAGAATGTATCAAAAAAAAGCCAAAATGAACGTATCAACTCCTGTGTTACTGCTGCGTAGACTGTTGATGTTTCAGTCAAACACCACTCTAGGATGTTTTATCTGCACAACCACAAAGTACCAGTTCATCTACCAGCATTACCACCGAGAGGCCAAACTCCACTCTGCTGCGCTTCCTGCCTCAGTTAACACCCGGCTGAACCTGTATGCAACAGCCAGAACGGAGATAATGACACCCCGTCCAGATTAGATCTCCAAATTCCTCTGTGTCACAGAGTCGGCTGAGATTGTTCCAGCTTGTCTGTTTTACTAGATCAAAATTGGGAGGCTGATAAAAAACAGCCGAGCCTCGGAGAGCACTTAGAATTCAAAAGAGCACCAAACGGTGACAACCCAACCTTAACCCTGTTGACACCACTCACAGAACCAACACTGACAATAGAGGGGAGAGAAATGAAAGTCCCCGCCAAGAGAAGGACCAAAAGTCCAGCAGACAAAACGACTCTTCTGTGTTTGAAGCTCTGCCAGTTTTTTTTCTCAACCTCTCCTTGAACCTGTGGTTTGTGCTGTAGTTCACTCAGACATCTAGACAAAGAGGGAAAGAAAAGCAGCTTCTCTCCATGACTTTAGAAAATGTTGCTGTGCAGCCAGTGGACCAGACCTTGGACCTGAGTCTCAACTTAAATCTAGGCCACGATAATGATATTTTAAAAAGTGTGTATACAGAAAAAAGAACCTCTGGAGGACACTCCTGTGATACTAATGTTGACAGTTAAACTGGTTGAGAGTTAATCTGCTGAAGAATGTTGGGATGAAGTCGTCAGTTGTCGTTACTCCGCCCTTTAAGAATGTGATGCCGCCTCGAGTTGTAATTTCTTTGTTTTTTACCAAATAGAATTTTTTCGTCTTTTAGAATTTGTGGATGTGGAATTCCAGATCACAGTTACAGAATGACTGTTAAACCATGTTTCTTACCACGGTGTAGTTTACTTTAAATGTCATGGAATCCTCTGTACAATAGTACAATAAAGTTCATGAAGTTTTTGTAAAATATTGTATCCCCCGTACTGAGATACAGAAGCCCGGAGAGAGTTAAGAACAGATATCCTACCTGGCATTTCCCACTAGCGCTCCTTTTCTTTGAGCTAATCTTATTACAAGCTACTCGTTGCTATGGAAATGCAGTTTTACTTGGAAACTCCCAGGTGGAGCGGTGTGTAACTGGGTGTGAAGCAGGGGTTATAATCCCTGGTTAAACAAAGTCTCAGAGCCATCTGAGCTGGAACTGGTGTGGTTGGATGAAGGACTTACATGTGATGTAGTAGTTGACGTTCTTCTTGAACTCCAGGCCCATGTAGTTGGGGCTGAACTCCTGGAATTTGATGGTGAACTTGATGTCCTTCTCTGGTTTGTTGCAGTTGACCAGGACATTAGGGTCGAGAACTGTACTGCAGCTCTCCGCCTGCTCCCTCTTCACCAGGTACAGCTTGTAGAACTCATAGTCTCTGCCTTGGTCCGCTTTGGGACAAATGATGTCCAACTTGTCCCCGATGTCAGGGTAGATTACCAGGCCTTTTCCAGGCAGGAACCTTAGACAGGAGAGAGAAAAACAACAAGTGTTACTAACATAGGATAAAAGGAGCGGAGAAGAGCCGCCACATAATTCACCAACAGTTTACAGAGACTTAATACACCGAGCCCGGGCAGTGATGGGTTCAGACGGGTCTGGTCCAGGCTTTTAGTGGAGCAGAGTTAATGTGGCTCCAGGAACAGTCTACATGTAGCAGCCTGACGGTGATCTGCGCTATTCAGCCGAGCGGAACACAAATCTGTAAAGTTGGACGTGAATCAAAGCATACCAAAAGTTCAAACGCAAGGGAACGAGATGGTCAAATCCAAAATGGCTGCCAGAGACATCACTACACACGGGATTATGTCCACAGATTGTTTTTTTTCATACCCACCTACCCCCCCCCCACCCCTCCCAGTCCCAGATAAGTAACTCTAATATCGACGGTGGTCCTTCTGCAGAGGGGCACAGGGGTCTTTGGGGAGGTTAAGGCTTCCTGGTTCATCTCCCATCCAACCGTCATCATCCACTGCTGGATTAAGATAATCCACCTGGCCTTACTGTACCTCTCCACTTCTCTCTCTGCTGCCAACACAATCAGATCAGCCTTTGTTCTCTGTTATTCACTAAAGGTGAGGAAGCAGGAGGAGACCTGCTCTGTGTGTGTGTGTGAGAGAGAGAGAGGGGGGGGGGCGGCGAGTGTGTGTGTGTGTGAGCCTGTCGGTCAGCAAATTGCGGCCTGGGTGGAGGGCGGGGGGGCCGGGTGGAGGGGGGGATAAGCAGACGGGCTGAATCATTGTTCTGGACTTGTTGAGGCTTAAAATGTCAACATGGTTCAGCTCTGCTGTCCCAGTTAGCCAAGCATTAACCCAAACAGCCGGACTGACCACGGGTGTGTGTGTGTGTGTGTGTGTTGTGGTCGTAGACAGTGGCCACAGCAGCAGGACTATCTCCTGGATCTGACCATGCCAGCAGATTTAAGGAGGATTTAGCAACGAGCAGTGCATTTGTTGTTCTTCCTGATCCCTCACATTTAACAAGACATCAAGGCAGGGTCTCTCACCCTCTCTCTGTCTCTCTCTCTCTCTGTCTCTCTCTGCTGTCTCGTTCTCTCAGTCTAATCTCACCTTATCTCCAGCCCCTCATTTCATCATCACACACATCATTTCACCACTAAATAAGTCACTCTGCAGACCGGCCGCGGGAAGTGGAGACTGTGATGTCTTGTGAAAAAGACTGATCATGTGATCCTACAAGAGGAGGGGGACATGGGAGGGTATGGAGGGGGGTATATGATCACCCCACTCCTCTGATGTTAAACCCTGGCACATGGCCAACGTTGTTAAGAAAAAGGAAATAGTTTTTATTAAATATATTTTTTTAAGTATCCCTGAAGAAAAAGACTTAGATTTATTTTTGTTCTCCGTCAACTCTCTGACGACGGAGCGATCACTTCAGTGATCGTGAAACAAACGAGCAGGAACTGTCAGGTGGCTGTCTGTCATTTCCCCACGTCCTCTTTCTTTGTCCACTGAGTATGATGTCATGAAAGCATGTTGGCACCAGGGCTTGGGTGCAGGGCTTGGAAGTGGGTGAGACATTATTTCCCCGCTATTGTGCGACGCCGATGGCGGTGAGCGGGGTTGGGGTTGAGAGGCGGGGGTCGTCTATTCCCCCAGCCGATAAGGGAAAGAATGTGGGCTGTCCTTTGTTCTACGTCTCCCAACTATTTGCTGCTTTTCAGCAACAACACACTCCATGCGCTCATGGACGTGTCGGTGAATGCGTGAGTGTTTCTGTGCGTGCATGAGTGTGTGTGTGTGTGTGTGAGTTTACCCGATCACACGTGCGTGTGCGTACGTGTGTCTATGAAGACATGGACACAATCAGTCTCTAATTGGATCTACAAGATGCATCAGCGCGGCATAAACAGGTTTCCATGGCAACGTCTGGCTTTGTCGCTGACAACACCCCCCGCCCCCCCCCCATACTTCCAGTCCCCCGATCTCATTCCCTCCAGCTTTATCCTTCCCTCTCATTCACCTCTTCAACATTTCCTTCATTCTGCTCTTTCTCATTCCCGCCCCCACCATCCTGCCGCCCACCCGCCACTCATGGAAAAACACACCTAAAAAAAAAACAAGTGTGGAAATTAAAAGGCAAAAAAAGGAGAGCGGATGAACGTCTAAACTTTTTATTCAACAAGTTTGGGGTTTAGCTACTTTGTTTCAAATTCAAATTTGGCAGAATACTTTTCATATTTTTCGAATATATATAAAAAAAAAATTAGGGCCACAACAACCTTCCCGGTTAAACCGTTTATCCGTCTGGTTATCAGAGAGAGCTGAAACAGTTTAGTTCAGGATTTCCACGTCTGAGTGTCTTAATATCCCTGACAGACTTTATCACAATCCGGTCCCTGTCATTGATTCAATTTTCCGAGCAGGCCTCTTACTTGGCAGTTGGATAACTTTCCTAAGTGAATTCTCCGCTTCTGTTTCCCAGCCTTTGTTAACTGTCTGCTATAATGAGGCTCTGGCTGCTGTGGAGGTCTGGAAGCGCCATCGCAGATGGGAAAGAAGCAACATAAAAGAAATAGGGCAGCAATTAGTGTTTAGCCCAGTTTAAAAGCCCTCCACTTGGCAAGCTGTGGCCCAGCTCCAGTCCAGGATGCGAAACTAAACTAGAGGGCTGGGACTTTGTCTTCCGTTTGTCTCTCTGTTGGCTTAATCAGCACCACTTGGGTTCTACTCATAGTCATGCAATAGAGAGGAGGAGGTGAGTGACTGAAGATTATTGTTCTTTTGAGGAGGTCGAAAGGGAAGAAAAGGGGGAAAGAGGAGGCTGAACTGCATCTTTCACTCACGTCGTCGGGAGACTTTGTCGGACCTGTTGATTAAAGGACTCTGAGCTCACAGAGGAAGAGCTGAGCAGATACAAACGATGTTTCTGGGAAATAGCCCTGAACGTGAGAGACCCCTTTATCCCCCTTGTGTCAAACGTGGTGGATTTGGCCTGAACCAAACAAAATAAAGGGAATCATTCTCAAAATAACCAAACGAGGTGGCCCTTTGTTTCATCTGGACGGATCCACGCTGAGGCGGAATCCTGTAAAGAGCTTACACAAACAGGGCTACGTTACAGCGCCGCGGAGAGAGAGAACGGAGAACAACAAAGCCGAGAGAAAGAGAGGCGAGAGAACACATTCTTACATTCCACTGGTGAATATGAGCACATGATCTCACATATGCTCCACTCCCCGCCGCCGCTCTATACACACACACACGGATGTGGGAGCGCACAAAAGCACTGTGGGGTGCATCCTGGACCTTCCCAGCCCAACTTCCCAGCCACCCCTATTCAAGTGCCGTGCCCTCGCCGACTTTCATATAAAACGCCGCCTACTCTCGGGCCTTCTCAAAGCCCCTCGCGGAGCCTCAAACCAACCCTTCCCCCGTGTTCTCCACCCCCGTCCAGTCAACTCAGGTCTCTGCCCCGAGCACTGCACTGGCAGGCAGCCTGAGCTGCTGAGTGAATGGACCCAGGAACAGGAACTGTGAGAGAGAGAGAGAGAGAGGGAGACGCAAGTGATTTTATATATGAAATAAAAATAAAAGATTGATTAGATTAATATCCTTCCTCAAATCTGGTGTCGATGACTAAAACCAGTTCAGACTGGTCTGTCTCCCCCCAGTGTTGGGCCGTGATCGGGTTTTTATTCAACCCTCAAAAATGAAGCATTTTGAATTCTGTGGTGTAAACACCACCGAAGAAGAGTTCAGCTGATTCCTTGATTTACTACTGCTTCAATCTTTTAAATAGTGGCGCGGGGGTCAGGGGGAGGACGGGATGGGACGGGGGGGTTAGTACAACCACAGCAGTTACCAGCCAAAAGAAGTAGTTTAGTTATTTTCATAAGATTTTTATTATTATTATTTCAACTTCCTGTCCCAGGTTCATATAAAGACGTGCTCACCATTACCATATTCATCTTACATTATTGATGAAATGCTTTTCCTCTTGTTATTACAGAAGCCATTATCTGAGCTGCAGCTGTATTTATGGCCTTTCCAATAAATTTTCCAAGGACTTAAAGTCAGGGAAAGATTTTTTTATGGCTTCTCATTAACATGACTGTAATTCAGCCACATGACAGGGCTACACTTAAGTCTGTAATGAACATACAGCGTTGTTGGCCAGAGTGCCGCCGTGTAATAAATACAACAGCCTGAGGTTGTGTATGCTGTGTGTAATCACAGGCTACACACACATATCCTCTGCTCATCCAAGTCAATCAATAATAAATAATTTCCCAACAGCAGCGACGCTCTCAGGCTTCGACTGCCTTCAGATCTGTCACGCCGCCGTCGCCACCGCCGCCGCGTACTCGCTCTCCCCCTCAGAGGAGACATTCAAACAGATTCTGAAATGTCTCTGCTCTTGATATGTGGTTAAGACCCAGTGAGTGCTGTTGACACAGTGTGATCATTTTTATTCTTGGTGGAAAAAAAAAAACGTGTATCATGGAACTGTCGGTGTGTTTGTAAGGCCCGAGAGAAATTTACTCCGTCTGTGACGACGTCGAGATGTCCCAACGCTCCGTTACATGACAAACTCATCAAGGAGAGCTGGGTAATATCGCCCCCTGAAGTGCTGCCGGTCCAAGGTCTCCGCCTGTTGTCGGCAGCTGATCCCTTGTATACATCGCTGGCTTCTGTCGGGCAGGGCTAGATGTTCTCAAGGAAGTCCTGACTTACAATCGTGCATACATAAACACACGCCCCAAAGTGTACACACACACACACACACCGATTTCCTCACGTGTCAAAGACGGTAAACAAGTTGCCTCAATGCTCGCGCAGGCCACACACACCAAAAGGCAGAAGAACAAACACAAGGATCCTGAAATTAAGCAAAACAAGACCCATCTGGTTCCAGAACTGTTTAGCAACGCAGAAAGGATTTCACCCTTATTAAAGAAAAACCAGGACAAACTCGCCAACGGGTAGTGGTATTGGA